TTCCCTACTGATGCTTTAGGTAATAGAAGGTGGTGAGTTCATGCTTTTGCACTGACATAAGTCACAGTTACGGTGATGCATACTGCACCTACAAGTTCTGACTGACAAAAGAATGATCTCACTCTGCAAATCAGTTAGTCTGTAGATTGTTCTCTGTAATGGTAAGGGAATGGAGTATCCCTTTACTAAAAGCAAAACTGAAGAACTTATTTAATGTTTTGATGGTGGTGTTTTCACCTATTAAATTAGAGATTTACTGTCAGTAGTGCTCTTTAAGAGACCTCAGAAATGAGCAGTAGAGAGAAGTAAAATGTATACATTGTAGATACCTGGGTTTATTTGTTTACTTCCAGCAAGAATAATACTAGAAATCAGCACCTTCACTTAATAAGCTGGTGCAAATATGATGGCCACCTGTAGGTCACAGAAATCCAGAAAGAAAATCATAATCTCCTCTGCCAAAAGATCACATAATTAAGGTCAAAATACTGATGTATTTTAAAGCAGTACTTGAAAATAACTTAGGAGCGAGAGAAAGGGCTGCAACAGGGTAGAGGACAGGTGAAATTCTTTCCATTTAATAGGATATATAGTTTGAACTCCTACTTAACGACTTTGTATTGCTATAAATCACTTTCAAGATTTTTGTCTTCCTGACAGTAGAATTGCACGCTCAAAATTTGTACTATGCAACATCCCACCTACTTTACATTCCCATTTCATCTCTGTCAGACCATATAGCTATGTATCACAGCCTTGGAAAAGTGTAAGGATATGTCTTTTTTCAAGACATATCTTGTAGGCAACTTTGACTAAACAACTTTAACGTTTGCCTAGGTATTGATATATCGTGGTGAAATAGAGTATAAGAAAATAATTCATATTTACAATTTTTTTAAAATCTCGTACAAAAATATATGGCAGTATCATTTATTGTTACTGCTTTTGGAGTTACGCATCTGGAAGCTGAACATAATATTCTTGATGTGAGCTCAGACATCTCTGGATGCAGCCCATTTGATCAATAGGCATGATTAAACTGATAGCAGAGCAGAGTTTGTCAGAGGAATATGTTTTCAGTGAATAGGAATATGATTCAGACCTGAGTTGAGAATGAGGCCACTTAACCAAAATGAAACAAATTATAATTGTTGACATTCTTCTGACCACTTCAAAAGGTAGTATGAGAATGAAGTTTCTCTAGAGTTGCCTAGAGATATTACAAACAGGATGAGTTTAGAATCTAATTTCTAACTATTCTTTTATTTAAATGTGACCTGGAGGAACTGTTTAGGGAAAAGATTGAATTAGAGAAATGTCTCTCATATCTCCCTGCAACTGCATGAAAGCAAACTCTTAATTGATGTTTGCAGGCAGATAATCTTGTATCACTTTATTCACCAGTTTTTCATTATAGCTTACCCTAATATTCAAAGGATTGTTTTGCATAAGAATTGAAGGCATGAAAAGCAAACTAAAGAAATGAAATAAGCCAGCTTATTTGAGAAAGAGCCTAGTGTCAGTCAGTGAAAAGTTACTGATGGGTTTGTAATTGTTGTCAACAATCCAGAAGGCACAGGGGCTTAAAGTGCTAAAGAAGTATGTAGTTTAAGACCTGTTACCACCCACCATTTGGATTATTTCAGTGTAGTTAAAAGCTTTTAAAGGCAATCTGCAAAAAGTCTGGGGAAAGAGGGGGCTCAGAGCTTAATCTTAGAGTGCCTTATGGTCTCCATGGGAGGCCTGAAACTGTTCTGCTAGTTCTGCTATATGCTTGTTTGTTAAAAATATCAATAATTTTGTTTTCTGTGACTTCCTCAAAAAGCTAATGAACTGCCAGTAACTGAAGAGGAAAGAACAAACAAAACAATCTGACAAACTGACATCTTTCTGCCTGTTTGTGGATCAGGACTTTGACTTTCATGGATGTCAACATAAGCAAAACATAAAGAGACTAACAAACCTTTTCTTGGTATATCTGCTGAGGCCTCGCTTCTATAGGAGAAACATCCTACTGATTGCTGTCCGTAGGATTGCCCAAGAAAAAAGTTAATAGATGAGAGATGAAATTTCTGAAGGAAAAAAAGGTAGAACAACGTTTTTAAATAGATCGACCGTAGACTGAAGGATATATCATTGTTCTTTCCCTTGTGTAGACTGCTGTTAAATTCAAAGGTTCTCTCCCTTCTTTGTTTCCCCAGGAATGCTAATTCAGTCACTCAGCTAAGGCTTCTTGAAGTAGCTTTAAAGAGTAATATTCTTTATCTTAGATAAATCATTCTCATAAAGATACATTTTCCTTAAGTTGCTTTAATCATGTTGATAGTTCTGATGCTCTAATATTTTGACCTCAGGGACGCTTTGCTCTTTGCTAATTTTGATGGCCAGCATGCAGGCTTGACCCAAAATTTTGGGTTTGTGATAACTGACTCTGATTAAACTTAACCCCAAAAGCATCATCTCTGAGACACTTCTACAGATTACTCCCCCCCTAGTGTGTACCTTCTACACTATTTAGTTTTCAGTGTTATGTTTCTGTATGAGAATCCCACACAAGCGGAGAGAAATGTGTAAGTTGGAAAGTAACAGTGTTTAAAAAAACCCTGCAAGTCTGCAAAACAAGAAAACAAACACATGGGCGCGCGCACCTACCCTCATGCAAAATACCCTCTTCCCAAATAAACCCCTTCTGTAACACTTCTTGGATTTTTGATGAAAGCTGAGATACAAATGTGTCCTTTTCATACTAGACTTTTTTCACCAAACCTTTTGGATTGTAAAGTAAACTTCAATACTGATTATTTTTTTTCTTTTTCCTCTTTGCTCAGTAATTTACATTTTAGAAACAGGTCAAGGAGCACACATAGTTTGCATTCAGACTTTGTTTTTCTCTGGCATGTCTTCTGGCTTCTAAGAGAAATATTGTTACTGAACTGTAGATGTCGGTTGTGCCAATGCACACATACACTCCCTTTCCACATTGTTTCCCATGACTCTTAAAATAAAGTTCAAAAGCTCTCTAGTTGCTTAAAAAAATCCTACTTGATATAAAAGCAGTTGGTGCCTACCTTTTCTTTGTTTCTTGTGTAAAGTAAGTTTGTTACCCTAAGAAGGTTCCAAATATACTTTATGTGAAATTGAAATAAGTCAAGCATGATATTATATATGAAAGCTTCTCACTCAGCAAACTTAATGTGATAAACCAACAGACACTCTCCTGTGCTTTCAAGTATGTTTTGACGTATACCTCCTACAGTTCTTTAAACATGAAAAATTGCTATGTATGAAGTTCTGCTGACTTGGAAAATTAAAATCAAGGTCTATCCTTTAAGATAACTCTGACGTACTCCCTAAAGAAGGAATTTTTATGCATAAAACTTGCCTCAAAACCTAGCATTCCTGTGCATGAGCAGCAGAGCTCTGAGACTATATTCACCCAGAGAAATATCCAATTCTTTGCAGGGTAGACATCCACTATTTGTATGTCTTGACACTTAGGCACATTTCCATTCTAAACCACACTACACAGCCTTTTTCTAATATTTGCAACTTTGTAAACATTAAGTAAAAGAAAAGTCTTTACCTTTTAATCTTGTGCTGGTGGGTTTCTGGTTTATCCTTTACAGAGGAACTCCTGAGGGTAAGCTTCAGTATAATCTGAAAAACATTGTTTCAAATATTTGCCTAAGTAATGTGTCTTGAGTGGCATTCGATTAAGTATTTTCTGCATGCCTTCTGCTTCTAATTCTTAAATAATTGTCCAAGGGTTCATCTTCAGGAGCAGTATGTGAGAGAGAAGCTGACTTCTGCAACTGCAGTAGAGAGGCAAATTGGTTACTTTCTACTTGGGGAATCTGGTTCTGCCTGTTTGAAACCCAGCCTTGCTGAGAGGCGGATCACTGCTGGAGCTGCCCAGTAGCAGGAAGCAGCTAGGAGCAGCTCCCTAGTAGATAGAGGCCTTGTAAGCTGGAAGTGGAGCACTGCCTACCTATGAAGCACAAGTGTAAGTGCAGGGATTGCTTTCTTCTACACTGAAGCACGAAGAAAAAAGGAAGCAAGGCTAGGTCCTTCAAACATTTACTTGAAAGGGGGAAAAAAAATCCAGCATAATAACACCCTATATCACAGTCAGTACCTGAAAAATATTTTAACTCAATTTTTAAGCTTGACCTAAAGGCTGAAGCAGGTAGGGGTGTACAGCAGGAAATGTATGACCTGTGCAAAACCATTTCAGTTCCTGGGGAGCATAAGGTGGAGACAGCTATTTGGATATGTTACTTTTCCAGATACAGCACCTCAGCTGTGTATTTTGAATACAGTCAGTATTCAAACAGGAGTGCTGTGGAGAAAATGGAAGCTAATTGACCAAAAAGACAAATCTTACACCTTTCAAGGTATTAGAGGTTAAAAATCAGCAGCTACTGCAAGTTATAGGATGTTAGTGTCACACTCACACTGAGCTATGCAGCTCACCAACATTTCATTCTGCTTCAGCTGTGCTTGTAGAATGTGCAGTCCAATAACATAGTAAATAGTGCAGTTATTTAATCTTCAGGTGAAAAAGGAATAGGCTGTGGCAACAAACTCTGTGTTCAGAAATACTTTCTTCAATTAGATCTAGATGAATTGACAGCACTGCTGAGGGATGCTTTTTGAGACTAAGGGGCAGTGCAGTAGGATTTTCAGACTGTAACAAAGATAGGTTATGTGGGGGAAAAAAAAAAGTCGAGATAGTAGTTTCCAATCTTTTAATTACTTTGCATAGCTTTCTTGAATTTCATTTCAGTTTTTCCCTGGTTTAGCTTTGGCCTTATTTCGTAGATAAATACTGAGAGGACATTACTTGTTCTAGTTGGTTGGTGAGAAGGAATAGTGCCAGAGTATCATAAGCATATCGAAAATGTCATATGTTCTGTATATGCATTGAACAACAGTTAGGGAATCTCTGTACTAAATCATACAAAGTACTGTAGAAGTACTCATTTTGTTCAAAAGCGGGAATGGATTATCAAAGGAGGCATGGGGAGGAGAGCCTTACGCTCTTTCTAGCACTGCAGGCAAGTCAGCAAGGTTTTGATTATCAGTAAGATGTGGGGATTTTTATCCCCAAGATGATGATACATAAGTGAACCTTTTGGACCACGAATAGTTAAGACTGATGAAGACTGAGAGAGAATGGACATTTAAGAAGCTGTCTTTCTATGGTCTCCTTCATAAACTCTTCTTGAAAAGAAAGATTAGGTAATGAATCATAGTGCATGAGGTTAACGGTGACAAGGAATGTTTTTTTCAGCTGTAGATGCAGCACAGCTTTTTTTTTTTAATGCCTCTTTGAAGCTAAAAACTCTCTTGGGAGTAAAATAGTTAAGAATTGAGGTTCTCATACTGCGATTCTGGAAAATAGGAAGGAATAAGATCTTAGATCAAACTGAAGTGCTGACAAGTTCTGCTAACTACGGAGTGAATTCTTACCATTGTTCCTTCCCAGCAAGGAGTATGATAAATCCAAAGTGCAAGCTTTGGCCTAACATTTCCTAAAAGCCATTTGAGTTAATGGTGATGATTTGAGATTTATTTCAGAAGAAAGGCTATGATGTCTGGCTCCAAAGCCATCTGCCGTTGCATTCATGGAAGCCAAATATTTGTGATTTTATCCAGAAAGTTGAATCAGAGTTCTCATGTAATGGAAGGGTTGTTAAATTTCAGAACAACATTATTTTAGTGGAATTCCCTTATTAGAGAAAGGCAAGTGCAGTTTTCAGATTCCCTAATGCTATGCAATACTCCTCTTTGCAGCTTTTGCACTTAGCTTGGATTATTATTGTTGTAGAAAGTGCAAGATAAGATTGCATTGTATGCTTATATTCCAAAATGGTCTACACTGGTTCAAAGCAAACGGTATCAGTTTTCATGCTGAAAAATAGTAACTTTGAACAGGAGTAGTCTATTGCTCGTAAAATATTATTTAATATTTTTTCATAGTTCCTAGAGTTTTACCATACTAGCTTTTAATTAAAAGCAGTTAATGGGAGAGGAAAGACTATATATCCTATTGTCACAAACAGTTTTTATGAAAGATGGGAACAACTCTTTTTTGACTTGACCTCTTTTGTGAAGTTTTGTTCATTCCTTATAAAACTCTCAGACCGTCAAGAAACACAAATGATTTCCTATGTGTTTCTTTTTGTCATTTTGGTTTGTCTGTTCAAAATATATATTTTGGATTTCTATCTAAATTTCTCCATTTGTTATTAAAATTTGCTTGTAAGTGAACTCAGAAAATCATTGATCAACATGACTGCAAGTTTACTTTTTAAAATTTCTTCTTAGGGAATACATCTGCTTGGCTAACGCATTCCTAAATACTTAGATAAACTTACCTTGTTAATCCATCCTACCTTCTTGGATGCTGACCGATTTAAATCCATTTTAATCAAGAAGTTGGGGTCTCAAAGATAGTCAAGTCCTGTGAGTTTCATGAAAATCATTACTTGGATAGCTGAGAGAAATCCCGGTAAGGGAAAAGATTTTGCCTTTCTGTGAGAGGTGGTTCCATACAGGTTTTGGCAGTTACCCTTGCTTTTTCTTACATATAGTTTGTGATGTACCTTTTAGGGCTTTAGATTGGAAGCTTTTCCAGTTTCATTTCATATATATAGAGGAGTTCTCAGTGAAACATTAAAAAATTAATCTTGATAAAAGGAAGTAACTTTCATTTCTGTGGTTAGAACATGGTATCACCAGGAGTTTGCTGAGGTGAAGAACTTAAGCTTTTGGGATGTTTATAATTCTGGACAGCCCTCTTATCTTTGTAGAAGTTATTGATAACAGTGTTGAAAGGAACATAACACCTGAAGCCTCTGCTTCAGGGTGTATGTCTATGTTAAAGTGTGAAATAATGAATAACATTCTTTGGGTGGTAAATCAGATCTGTTTTGTGCCTTTTAAAAAACACACATTATTGGCTGTAGTGTTGGATACAGTTACAGAGTATATGGAAGACAAATCTGATCAAGAAAACACTCCCCCAAAGACTTAAGACGTTTATCTTTTGGAGTTTATCTTTTGGAGATCTGAGAATCTCTCTTGTGTCAGGGTGCTAAGTGTTTCTTTTGATCTTTTCTTTAGGCTGGCAAATAAGCAGGACAGAGAAGGAGCTCTTTCGGAAGCAGATATAATTGAGTCCTTATCTCTGGAAAAGCTTGTCAACGAACACAAGTGTCTATGTCAAATTGTAAGTGTATTTTAAGATGCTTCATTTTCTAATATATATGTAAAGCTTGCAATAAGGTAGGAGATTGTGCCACATGGCGTAAAACTGAAACTAAAACCCTGCAATCCCAGCAAAGTTACAGTACATGTATCTGTTCTGCAAGCAATTCTACTGTTCACCTTGATGTTCTGCTTCTGGATCTGTTGAAAAAGTCTTTGTAACAAGGATCCTCAAAGTGTACCTGCTGGTCCATTCTGAAACCATGTAAGAATAATTAGTTACTGATGTGGTTTAAAACTTGTTTAATTGGACAGCAAGTTTTGTATTCCACCTTTTTAAAAAGAAGCAGGAAATGGAATTTGCCTGCGTTGACATTGAGGAAGGATCGCTGTTCGGATATGATGTTTGTCTCATTTCTGTCCATAGCTAAAACCATCATTTAGTCTGAGTCACCATCTGGCAAACAGTAAGAACTTAATCTAATTCCTAGGGCGTCTAATTCCCAGCACAGTAGTCACCAAAGTACACTGTTAGAGCTAGTTGCTAGTTAATATTTGTCTTAAAACAACTACATTTCAGATGTAGTATTCACAGTCATGTTTTTTAAAAAAAAAAAAAAAAAATCATAAAAAAAGGCAGGGGGGAGCCAAAACCAGAAATCTGTATGAAAGCTACTTAATATTGGTCAGTATTTCAGATAATTTATCCAAATCAGTAGTCCCTGAAGTTTTCTTAAGCCTTTGTTTTAATCAACCTGTTTTAGCTAACTATTTGTGGGTTTTACTTTTATAATCTTTTTCTAATTGCAGTAAGAAACATTTTAAAAGATAATGAGAGTTATGCTGTTATTAACCAAAATTAGGAGGCAATTTTGCAAAACCATTCCAGCTGGTATTTGGGTTTTAAAATTTAAAAAAGACTTTTAATTCCCTAGGGAGAGTTGCAAAATTCATAGGGTGATAAATATTGCTATTATTTTCTCTAGAAAGCTGAGTTATAGCAGGGCATAGCTATGTTCATTATGTCATGACTCTTTGAGTGCTTTTCTTCAGTCAGTGGACTTTGCACTATGCATGTGTAGCAATCATAAAAATAAAAATTGCAAGTTTGCTGTTTTTTTCCCAAGGGACTTCTATGACAAAAATATTTTCTTGCAAAACATTATCAATATAAAAGACTAGTGTATTTTTCCAATACTTTAGAATTACTTAATTTATGACATGTTCGAGTAAAATGCTGTTCTTGTTCTCCATTTATATCTTGGGTGTAATTAGCAAAGAAACTAGATCACATACTCTGAGTCATTTTAGCTGAAAGCAGCTGAGTGTCTTACATACACAAATGGACAGCTTCTTTACTAGGCTCATTAAAGGTAAACATGGTCCCAAGTTACTTCTACATGATGACTCATGGGGTGAATTTAAACAGGAGCGTTGTGAAACAAGATTTAAATAACATTAGGCAAGGACCAAAAAACCTTTTATTTGTTCTTACTCTTTTAATTAGTTTTCTTCTGGATCTTTAAATTTCCCCACAAAACATTAAAGCAAAGGAAGGAGTCATTTGTCTCACTGTCACACAGTGTCAGTGAGAATGACCTTCCTCTTTTTCTTTTTTAATATGTCTGTATATTCTATATTTCTAAATTTCTGTATTTTATAACTGAATTACAGCAATAATAATCTTGGTGCAAACCAAGAAGAAAATTGCCCCAGTGCTGTCTATTGTTTTATCTTAGTTTTCTCAGAGAAACAAGGTATTATTGCCTATACATCTTCTCCCTGATGAGGTTCTGCTAGAGAGTATTGTAATGTTCCGTAGTGAACAGCACTCATATTTGAACCTTAATTTAGACAAAGTAGGAATGTATTAAAATGCAAATTAGGTTTGGCACTCTGGGGGAACATAACTGGTCAGAATTTTTTTTTTCTGTTGTAAATTGTATATACCATATCTGACTATGGTGCCATTTAAATGCTTGTCAAATGAAGAGATAATACAGAGAATTTTTTAGGTGTTGACATTGGAAAGTTAGTCTTTTTTAATCTTCCTTCATTCATGAACACAAATCCTGAACACAATCAGTGTGAATTATCATTTCTTCGTGTCAAATACATAGCTGGATCTATTCAATTATTATTCAGAGAACAGTTTAAAAGACCCAAACAGTGCTCCAAAACATTCTGGAAAATAGTTCTGAAGAGATCTTGAGAGGTCATCTAGTCCTTTTCCATGTTCTAAGCTAGAATCAAGCCATATCTCTTTTGTTCCAATTAAAGCCCATTATACTTGTCCTCCTGACAATGGACATGAAGAGCAAATTATTCTTTTCCTATTTGAAGTTATGCCTTGTGTTTTTGAAGGCTATTATCATATCTCTTTGAAGCTGTTTCATCTCAAGAGACTCCTGTTCCTTCAATATTTTCTTACCAGATGTGTTTTCATAACCAATTTTGTCTGATTTTTCTCACTTTGCTCCTCTTGATTCCCTCCAGTCAATCCACTTCCTTGAAATGTTGCATCCGAGCTAGACAAAGTGTTCCAGACTAATTTAGCAATGGCTTTTGCACCCATCTTCCAGTAGATTTGCCTAGATCATGTTTCTCTTTCTTGCTGATGAGAATATCATGACAAAAGTTTTACTCCAATCAAGATGCATAATATTTTGCTTCACCCCTGTCCACAATACCCATTCTGATCTAAAAAATTGAATTGGTTTGACAGTTTTTCTGACAAATTCACACTTCATTTTATTTATCCCCTAGGTGCTTATGAACAAGTTGAACATGTCTTTCATGAACTGAAGTTAAGCTGATTCTCTTACATCTCATTTTTTCTATTTTACTAGATAAATATAACATGGACTATTTATAAACCAGCAGCAAAACAGAACATACATATTCGGGGTTGATAAATTATATTTCTATATAGATGCATAGATATGGATGTGTATAGAAACAGGTGTGTAAATATACATATATACTCATAGCAGGTGTATATGTAACAGCTGTGTGTATATGTAACAGGTGTATATATATGTCTAGAGATAGCCATGCAAACATGTTTTTCTGTGTAGGATTCTAGTATTTTTGAAATGGGACTGGAAATAATGGAATTTGGTAGAACTAATGTGATTTGTATCTTGGCAAAAAAAGGACCTAAATTCATAGAATACCTAAATGCAAATTTATTTCCCATACTTCTCAGTGTTTTGCAAGGTTCACAGTAAACAGCAATTGTTTGGCTGATTTCTTGTTTCAGTCAAGGAATGTGATCTGAACTGCAAATAATTTTCCCCTCCTTCTCCTTATATTTACAGGAACCTTGCTCAGCTATCATGGGCTGTGGGAAAAAAATTGATAAATCAATAAAAAAGGGCTTATATTGGCTTCTACGTATTATAGCAAAAGATTTTGATGCCTTAAATGAGCGCATCCAAAGAGACACTACAGAACAAAAAGCATATGAAGAACAAAAGAAACTAGAACGAGCTGAGCGAGTGAGAAGGATACGAGAAGAAAGGTATTCTCTCTGTAGTTTCTCCTAGCTCCCCTTCCTCCCTTTCTCTAAAATACTTGATTCATTCCTGTACGTAGACCTTATGGGAACCAAGCTATCAAGAATTTAAAGCTTGCAAGCCAAGAGTCTCCATATTAAAAGTATGGACCTGAATGATAGAGCCTTTCTTTAAGACCTACAAGTTTTTGCCTGGTTCATCCCCTTTATTTTATTCACTCTGTGCTAGAAATGTACTGTGAATGAGAATTGCAAGGTAGTTGTGGAATAAATTTGGCCTTGCTAATATAATTTCACAGGAGGCTAACCTAAAAAATAAATCCTCTCATTTAATCTTGTCACCTTCAAGTGTGTTCTAAAATAAACTTCTATTAACTTAAGTTAGACTTTGTAACCCATATGTGAATATTGAAGATTAGATGTGAAACTTGATTCAACACTATGCTTAATAAACTTCAGGATATCCAGCAGGTGAGGCATGGAGAGACTTAATATGATGCAGGGAGGGGAAGCAGGACAAGTGATTTATTACTTCCCTTCAAAGCCCTGTGTGGTCATCAGCAGCCCACCATGGTTCCTGTTAGGGACTGATGTAAATCATTTCACTGGGGCATTCTTAAAAAATCCGCTGAGCACCCCTGTCTGCCCTATATATGCAGAGTTTTGCGAGTCTCAGTTACTGTGAGAAGTAACTGTGAAACTACTGTGAAGTGTCTTGGCTTGTACTCTTGCTGATTTGGTTTACTTCAGCAAGTAAATCACTTAAGCACATTTTAAACACCTGGAATTTGACACGGTCTTCATACATATTTCACAAACTTATAAAAAAATTCATACACTGTTAGTCTGCCAGATGTCTCTGCATAGACAAAACCCTCTGACCATGTTGGATTATGTTGGGTTTATGCCATCTTGAGAGGTGTAGCGAGGAGAACTGGCTTTGAAACATGTCTCAAAGAGATTGTCTGATGATATGGGCATTTTCCATATATCCTGTTCCCGCTCAGTGATCTTGATTGCATTTGTTCACTGGAAGAATTGGTTGGGTCTGAATTGGATTACAGTTTTGCTAAACTACTTGTGTCTTAGAGGAAAACTAACTAGTAACTTCTGCTGGTTTTACCTGTAGGTGAGGGCTTGTCTCAGATATAAGAGATGGCATTAACTCATTTTGCTGTTTTGCATCAAATCGATTTCTTACTGTAAGAAACAGGTTAATCTCAATTCAAGTGTAATTCTGTTTCATTCTGTGTTTTAATAATTCCCCAGACTGCTTTTTGTTCAGATTTGCTTCCCTGAATGTTTTTTCAAAGTGCATTTCCTCCACAATATGTTAGTAGCAATCGTCTTGTTCCAAACGGAAAACCAGAGGGAGAGGTAGCGCCAATAAGTTTTAACATAGCACTGGGCATTCTTTCCAAGTAGTATGGTTTCATAGGTAGATCGGTGACCTCCTTTTCATTCCCATCTGTGCCTCTGAACAACGGGGTTACATCCTCTCTCAGTACTTGCAGCTGCAAAGTAGGTGTAACAGTGACTTTCTATGTGCAAGTACCATCAGATTGATTGATGAAAAGTATTTGATGAACAAATGATATATTATTTAATACATAATAATTTAATATTTCCTACATAGAGATCCGGTACATAAAAAATAAGTCATGCTGGTGCAACAACAGTATACTGAGCAGTATGTGTCTTTCTGAACTTTCCTGAGTCTAGTTGAAGTAAATATGGTTCCCTAACTGTTACTACATAAACTCAACAGTCTGGCACCAGTTCTCCCTTATGTATATTAAGAAGAACCTAGAATTATGAGAAATTAAGAATTAAGAAAAACCTAGAATTATGAGAAATGGAGGTGTATTAAAAATAGAAGAATAGGTTTTAGATAGTCTGGTTTCCCACCACATAGTTTGTTTTTTTTTTTTTAAACGATAGAATACCTTGAAACAATTGTTATAACAGATTAGCAGTGTGAAAATTTCAGCATGAAAATTTCAGCATACTGTTGAAAAATCAAAACCTTCCAGTTATAGCTGTATTCTGTCACATATCCTGTCCTCAGAAACTGCTTCTACTTCCTGAAGTGCTGATTGAACATTCAGGCACATAGCAGCATGTGTTTCTACCTCTGCCATAATATATACTTGTGCTTTATTGATGTTAGCCTATCATTGTGATTTCTGTAGAATGTTTTTCAAAATACAGAAGCATATTGCAAAATCAGCTGCCATAAATTGGAGGATGAGTTAGATGACCTAATAAGTGTTCTCTAGTATGTAAAATTTACGGCTTGGCTTCTTCATAATTCTTTGTTCATCCCCCCCTCTTTCTCCTCCTTCCTTCCCCCCCTCCCCCCAAAAAAAACCCAACAAACCCCAAAAACACTAAAACAACAACAACATAAACCCAACAACAACAACAAAGGGAAAAAAAGAGAAGAAGGAAGAAGTATACCTGATGAGGAAGACCCTGAGCCTGGGAACGCTGAAAACCCCTTCCAGCCTATATCTGCTGTAATATCTGAGGTATGAGAATATGTGGAAATCTGGATCGTTTTAGACCTACTACTAACACATGTCTGAGAGGTAATGAGAAAAATAGTTCATTTAAAAGAATTTTTCTAAGTCTGTATACACAGCATTATTTTATTTATTTTTTTTTAATCTTGGCAGTATTGTTTCGCGTGCATTGAATCAATGCTTTCATGTTAAGAAAATCCCCTATTACCGATTCAGGGACAAAAAGTTTTGTAGACACAGTAACTAAAGGTATTGTAAACAAGATGACTGAACACATTTCATAATTAAACTATTGGATATTCAGGAGTGGAAAATATTCAAGGTCTATTAGTTTCTTGTAAAGTGTTTTAGTGATGTAGAGAGTCATAAAATCTCCCTGACTACTTTGACTACTTAGATTTCTGACCATAACCTGTTTTTTGTTGAAAACTGAGACAATTGAGAAGTTTTCTTAGCTTTGAAATATGAAAAGCATATTAATATATAAAGTTTCCTTAACCTGTGTTTCTAAGTTCGGGTAGTTCTTATTTATTGTACCATATTTTTTTATTCAGTTGACTTGAGATAACATAATCTCAAGAAACACATAAACTCTCAGAGACTTTTCCAGTAAGTAATTCAAACATTTGCTTCTCGCCAGGACAAAAGCGCCCATATCCATATATCTTGTAAAGTCAGCTACATGCACAATAATATGCTTTATAATAACATACGGAGTAAGAAGAGAAGGGTATAGCTACGAGTATTGCAGAGACGGTGATTAAGTGATACAGAACCTGTGAAACAGCCTATCATTGAGTCTGTATGACACAATTGGTATTTATCAAATCATGGTAGCACTTACCAGATACTTAAACTCTGTGCATGTGTATTTTGTTTTAACTAAAACATTAAAAAAAAAACAAAAGAAGAAATTAGGAATTTTCTAACCTTTTGCTCAGGACTGTTGATGTTGTTTAAATAGCTAGCGCTTTTTTTTTTTTCATATGCCAAAAATAAAGCAAGAAAACAGGCTATAAATCTAAAGAGCATTTCTTTTGCTGTTAATCCCTTTGGTGGTGGGGTTTTTTTTTCTTCCCTTTCCTCTGGACAGGATATTGGAAATTTAATTTCTTCACCTATTTGAAAATATTTTCCATGCTAGATGTGGGACAGAAAAATATTTTAGGAAAATTTTGATTTTTAAAATAACCTTCCTGTCTTATTAGTCAGTTTACAGCATTAGAAGTTGTTAAAAAAGAATCTTACACTTTTTGTTAGAATGAAAAACAAATTGAAAAGGAAAAGAAGCGGCAAAGGCTGGAGACAGAAAAGGCTACGATTGTCTTGAAATCACAAACAGAGCAGGAACAAATCGATGCCCAGCACTTATCAAGTACCAGTAGCCAAAATACAAATGATAGTAGACTAGAAACATGCAGTTCTACAACTACACAGCTTTTGCAGCATGAAGAAGAAAATGAGCAGCAAGCCTCTGAATGCCTTGACTCAGGTAAAACTGCTTCCTTTTAATGTGTCATTTAATGTTATTTTTCACATAGTTCTTCCCTCCGTCTGTATTATTTTTCATGATACCACACGTCAATTTAATCTATTGAAAACATAAAAATGTACCATTAGGTTATTGTATTGGAAAATGCGCTCGAAAAAGTGCATGTTTGTTGGTGTGACTGATACTATATCTGAAACTAGGTTCATTTTTATCATAATCAAATACGTGGTCCACTTTCCATCAGTACCAAGCTAAGTTGAATTTCTTTATTAAAACATAGAGTTTGCATATATTTTATGCTTACAGTTTATTTTCTATAGCAAAATGTTGTGTAAATTTTACATTTCACATAATTTTGTGTTTAAGTTTGGACTGAAAACGTGGATGTATCTCACCCCAACAACTGTATTAAAAGATGATCTAAGAGAGTCTCTGAATATAACTGTATGATACGTAATGCTTTATTTCTGTTTGGTGTAGATAACAGTAAGAAAAAAAATAAAAAACCAAAATTAAAAAGGGGCCACAGAGTAGAACCTATTAATGCAGAGGACACTGTTCCCAAAAATCCTACACCACCACCAGCACTTCCACCAGGTAAGTGTACTAACAAACAATAATCGATGTCTCAATTTGTGGTTATTAATCCTTTAAAATATTCATTTGTGAATGATGAAACTGGAACGGTCTTCATACAGAGATATGCTACTAAACCTTACTTTCTAGGAAATCTTTGATGCAGTTTCCCACTTCATGGTATGAACTTTCAGCAGTATTGATTTGATCTATTCCATGGGGGAAGATGTTATTATTTTCACAAAAGAGAGTCAGAAACTTGACTGCTCACTAATGAAAAAGTGATTAAAAATATCAGTATTTTTAAGGGTAAATCGGTTTATTTTTAAAGTATTTCCTCATTATTCACCATATATACAATATATTACATACTTTTGGCATTTCTAAATGCTTTGATTTCTCCCAAAGAGAACTGGCTTCCATACATTTCATCAGAATCGAGTGCAGTCGTGGTGTGTTTTGACTGTCTTTGTTTTCCTTTAGTTGGCTGGGGAACTCCCAAACTTAATAGACTTCGAAAACTTGAGCCTCTTGGTGAAACACATCATGCTGGTAATTGAAAATATTTTGGGTTTTGCACTTTTTTTAAAGCATTCTCCATTGTTTATTCACTTCTACATTAATTTCATTCTTCATCTTTTTTTAATTTCATAATGCCAATTTTCATTGACCAAAAGCTAACCCTTTTGCTTAGCAGAAAGCATCTTTTTGATTTTTCAAGTCTTATTTCTTTTTTTACCAAAAAGAGTAAGTTTTCTTAGATTCCCTTATGAAGTTTAAAGTGGCATGGGATATCAGAAGCTATTAATGATCTGAAGTTATTGGCACAGCAGCATGCACCTAAATATTATAATGTGCCATATAACAAAGAGTAACAGGACCAGTTACTTTAAGTGTCCAAACACATACTGCATTCAAAATAAAAGTTGCAAAGTATATTGCCGTTGTCCTCCGTATGTAGACAGTTCATCATTATCTGATGCAATGGGGACAGCAGTTGGGTTACCTGGATACTGGAAGAAGTCTGAGGTACTCAGCAGAGAGGATACTTCAGAAATACTTAAGCAGGACTGCAGAGATCCAGCAGGGCTTGTTAATTTGGGATCCATAGTGGCTCTTCCACATCCAGGCTGATTCTGCACTAAGCTGCCTGTTCGTTTCCACACTGATCTTATGATCTGATCTGGAAGTGCTAATCGCTTCACAATACTGAACCCAAATGGGCCCCATGTATTTCTGTAGTTCTGTGAACCATAGCCCACCTCCAGATGAATTTGCTGTGTGTAAGCTGACTCCTTGTGTTACCTCTTGAGATACTAGCAGTGGATGGATAGAAGAAATTTTAGACTGTTTCCATATGGTTTTAAAAGCATAGTCTGTAAGATTTTTGTTATTGATTTGGGGGTGTTTTCTTGTGAGAAGGAAAGCTAAGGAAGTGGGCATCTCTGAATTAAGTCCATTATGGTAGCAACTCCAAATGAGGGACTGCAATCCTAGCTATGATGAAAAGCCCAACATAAATTTGATTGCAGAAGTAGTGAGACTTCCAACTGAAAACTAGGTTATTGGTTTGCAAGGAGAGGTGTCAGTGATAAAGGTTGGGATCTGCTGCTTTACCTGAAGAGCCAGTGTCCCTGAAAGTTCACAAACTGATAGGAGAAGTAAGTTTAATAACTGGAAATGTCAAGATGTAATAGGCAGATACTTGATTTCTCTCTTCAATAGTGACTGTTTTCTATTTTTGGAAGACCATGGAAGACTGTTTTTCATATGCCCATATGGCATCTTTTTCTCAGTTTTAGATGATAATTTCTTCATTTTTCTTACATTTTTGTTTTTCAAATTTTGAAAAGCCAAATGGAGACATCTGGAGTAATATGAGAGGAGGATAACCAGACTAAAGCAATGGGAACACTTATACAAATTGAACAAAGAGAACATTAATTGAGGAACTTACAGAGAAAGGAGTTCAGTGTGGCTGTAGTGATCCTTGAGTTGAACTGATTGTATTACTATCATGTAGTACTTGATGTGTAGCACCACGTGGACATACCTGCTGAAGTTCTGAAGCAACAGAACATGGAGCTGATTCTGCCAAAGAATCAAAAGATGCCTAAAGGGAAATTAAGATCTCTAAAAACTAGATATTTATTTTCACAGGAGTGTAATTCATGTGCATAAAATGTAATTTATAGTCTTAATCATAAAACCATCTTGCTCTTGCTCTTTTTTTTAAAGGCATATAGAGAGAAGGCGGCAAGAAAGAAAAGCCAGATGAAGAGGTAGGGAGGGGAAGAAAGGGAAGGAGTGATACTGAATTTTTATCCGTGCCTAAGGGAGGTGTTGCATTTTGTGGCAAGAGCATGGGTGGGGCAAAGAGGGAAAAAAATGCTTAAGCTAGGTACCCTACTCACAGGTGTGTAAGTTAGTAACCTGAGATCTGTGTTAATTCAGTCCATTTGTAAAATAAGGATAATAATTAAAGTATTTTGGAATCTAACAATGGAAAAGATGTTGGTAGGGTAACGATCTCTTGACCAGAGGTGTAACCACTGACCCCCCAGGAAACTTGGAGTGCTCAGAACTTTGCAGCTGAATTCAAGACATTACGTGCTGAGATTTGTTTTTTCCAGGAATTTTGAGACACTCAAAAGATTCACACAGATACAGAAAATCCTGAGAAAGCAAGAAAACATCTATTAGGAAAGCACTATTTGTAAATGAAAAAAGCTCTTCAAATGCATGGTCCAGCATTGTCAAACCTTTATTTAGGTCCTGATATCAAAGAGCATCAATTACTTATTTTGCTTAAAGCAGTTGGTTTTTTACTCAGACCATTTGAGATCCATAGAATCATTTACGTTGGAAAGGACCCTTAAGGTCATTGAGTCCAACTGTTAACCTAACATTACCAAGTCCATCTTGCACTGATTTTAGCTTGCCATCTGTCCTTGCCCATTTTCTGTCACGCAACAGTGTTTTTCAATGAGTTTTTACATATTTTGCAGACAGAGAACCTGCTCCTGCTTGGAAACTCATTTGAGTTTTTCTAAGACCAGTGGAGCCTACCTTTGATCCATTTTTTAGAATATTCCCTGAATTGCATTTTTCTGAAAACCAACTTCTTTTTGGCTGTCCCTTCAGCAAAGAAATAAGTCAATTTTGATTTTTTTTCCCCCCAGCTTTGCCCAAAATTCACTGTAAAGGTGGTTTTAAAAGTTTTTTAGCCAATCAACCTTTGTGAAACAAAAAGGCCTGGTTTCTTTATTGGTTTCATGATTAATTGATATAAATGTCTTGAAGGCATAATTCGCAGTAAAAGCTCAAAGTAGGTTTTTTTTTTTTTAATTTCCTTTAGCTGGGACTTTAGTAAGACTTTCTTTTCTGTGGGTTTTTTGCATTCTCTGAAGTGCAATGTTTTCTATAGCAGTACTGCATTCTGTTGAACAATTTGCTTTGACAAACTGTTATTGGCCAAGTGGCTGAAAAGTCTCTGTATATGGGGCAAATGAGCACCTACTTTCACGTAGACCAGGCTGTAAAACCTCAATTCTAGTAGGATGCCCAGTAGATGCTTTTGTCAGGACTCCTGGTAAAATTGTTAGTGTCCATAAGAGCAAGGAAAGAAAAAAAGTATTTAACAGTCTCCTTTAAAAAAGTTTAAGGAGCCTTGGTTATGCATAGAGGTTATTTTCAGGAGTACTCCTGAAGCCTATGTCCAAGAGTGTATCAATGAAACATTTGATAGCTCCTCAATGTAAGTCAAGAAACCCCCTTAAGCTTCAAAACAGATATGACTTTTTGTAGTGTTGATTTCTGCTAGTCCACGGAAAAACATAGGAACAGGTGTTTCTCAGTATTCCCATGCATTCTAGTACAGGTCTTTGTCAGTTAGAGTAGCAGTTATTCCTTTGGTTTTGTCTTAAAAATGATTTTTTTGAAAGTGTCACAGATATGTGGTAGACCTTGCTGCTGAAATACATAAAAGTTAGTGTAGTGTGAGGTTGGAAACAACCTCCAAAGGTCTGGTTTTTAATGCTAGGTGTTCTCAGAGACATAAATCTGTCTTAATGATTTAATGTGCAAACTGAAAATTTTAAGTGCTAGCGAGCAGGCTATTTAGTATATATATGAGTCATTTTTGTGTCATTCTTAGCAGAGAACATTATGGTGGATGTTTAGGCAGAGTTAACAGGCAGTAGAGTCAATTGTATAAATCTTTAATTATACACTTATTTTCACTAAAGACTGCAGTTTTTCCAGTCATGCTAATGATTCTAGCACAACACTAGGTAATGAGTGTCTGTTTAGTGTCAAGAATGATAAACCTCTCTCCTTATAGGAGGTAAAATTGCCTGCCAGTCCTAAAGTTGTTTGCCAGACCTCAAGAAACTGACTAATAAAAACATCCATTATACAGGTTTTCATTTACCCTATAATAATTTGTTGCAGTTTTGTTGTTTTTCACATGCTGCTGTAACACTGAATTAGCTCTATTAAAATCAAAGGATTTACAACAATAATATAAAAGTGTTATTATTTTACTGATTAAATGTAAGGATAACTAAAACCTTGATCCTACAGACATGTACACAACATATTCATAGAGTAACGTAATCCAACTTTTGTTAATTTTAGCTCAGGAATGCAATTTTAACCCAAGTTATTGCATATGTAGAACAAGTGGAATATATTTTTCTTGGAAAATTATGATTTATTAAAGCTGAATTTTGTGTTGGCAGGCCATCAAGGCTTTGTTGGGGAGGACGTTGTCTGTATAAACAAAATTGAGATTTGAATGCTTCAAAAAGCTGCTTTTACTTTTTCTTGATTTCTACCTGTTTCCTCTTAACATATTTCATTAATTATTTTGCTTGTGAAACACTTTGCATGTACCAGTCTGCATGGTTTTTTTTCTTTTATATCCATTACAAATGTTTGAGAATACTTGTTATTCTCTTCTGATGTACCTAATAACTTTGTCTTGAACAATTTTACTGCTTTAAACTCATTATTGACAAAAGGAAATGTTGCACTTTTATGTAAAAATTCTTAATGTAGTTCTTTTAGAAAGTTAGTATGGCTTTCAAGATAGATGCCATGCATAAAAGGTCCCAAAATTTTGGATGCTGCATAGCATTACTGTCACTTAACACTTCATTGCAATGCAGACTTGACTACAGCAACATTCAAATTTTGATACTTCATTTTTTCAGTTGTTATTTGTACACTTTGGATGTCTCATTTCCTATTTTTGGGATGTTTACAGATTAACTTTGGGCTTGATCTTGCAAATGCTGATGCATGTATAACAAAATGTAATTAAACCCTATTTTGGCCAATACACCTCCATACATTAATTAGCACTATGTCTGAAAGTTGCTTTTAGGAATTAGCTCTAAACTTGTAGGCTACCTAGCTTTCATTAAGGTAGCAAGAATTTACCTTATTTAAACAGCCTTTAAGCAAGGGAGATCGTAAATAACAGATTAATGTGTTTTTCTTCTCTGACATTTCTTATGCAGATTTCTATGGAAAGCCTCTGCCCCCGCTGACTATACGCCAAAGACCCAACAGTGATACCCATGATGTCATTGCTTAACTGGATAACAAATAGCATTTAAAAAACATTATAAAAATTTATATCAGAAACATTTTTTGCCCTTGAAGGAAAATTTTTTAAATGACAGTCTATCAGCTTGTTGCAAAATAACTTGGTGACGATTAAACATGGAGTTCATTCTATTGTATTTAGTTGATCAGACTTGGTCATTTACTTTTCACATCACCAGCTCTTCTTCAGGATTTAGCATGAAATCAAGAAAGGTCTATGTGTCATGGATGCTCATATGAACATGGTATTGAATATTTATTGGGTTTACTTGTGAAAATACATACCTGTAAACCTGAAGAAAAATACCTTCAAGATCACATAATACTGGATTGTATGTTCTCACCAAGACCTTTCTCCAGGTGCTGCACAGTGGTTGGTATTTTTGCATATAATAAATGGTTCTAAAGCATTTTGTAAGATTCATGTATGATAGAGTGAATATAGGAAGGTTATGCAACAAATACTGAGTATATTTTTCTAACTTTTTATAAAATTCTTTGAAAGTTTGAGTGGACATGCATACCTATTACCAATAAAATGATACGTAGAAAGCATTAGAAAGCTGATAGTCAAATGCATACAAGTAGAGTATGTTTGACACTTACGTTTCTCGTACAGTAGCAATACCTCTTATTAGGGATTACATTACCAGATGTGTATTTCGTATTTCTGGCAATCTGATGGGGAAGGAAGGTAGAAAAGAAAGTTTAAGATAAATACATTTTATACAAAATTGTGCTATTTGAATTGTCTGAAAGTTTTCTTATGTGTTGTTTTTTGTTTTGTTAACTGAATTTGGCATAGGTAAAAAATACAGTTGGAAAAACAGAGCTGAATATCATATTGTCTACTACTTCATACAAGAAAATTGCACATAGTGAAAGTTTTGCACTAATTCAGTCATCAGTTCTGATGGAAAACTGAATCAACCAGTATGCATATAAGCTCCAGCACTTTTTAATCTCGGTAATACTAAAATACCATCTTGAAAACAAAAGAAACTCCAGATTTTTAAGGACTTTTATATTATTTCTATGTAATCTGTTAATTTTACATTAAAAAAATCACATACAAGTGATACATAAACAACAAGGGTTACAGTTGGATATATTTCTATTTAAATGTTCTGTATATGCTGTTCTTCCTCTTACACTGGAGACAGCCATTGGTATATTGTGTAAAGGTATATCGTTATGCCACTTAGTTACAGCAAGGATGAAACCCCCATTCAAAGGTTTTTTGAAGAAGCATTACTTGATGATTTTCTATTACACTCTCAGTCCTCCTTAACATGTTATTACCAAAAGATTTTAGTAGTTGTTAGAACAATGCAATGTATATATTCAGCATTTTGACATTAGAAATCTTTACCATATACCCCTTACAGCAATGAGTTACACAAATAAACATCTACCATATTAATCGAAATGAAATTATTAACTAAGATTTTTAAAGAGTTTGAGTGGGGGGAAAAAAAATCAGTCTTAAGAATATTAAGTTTGGAATGGGTGGAGAGGAATATTCCAAGTTTGCTAGTTTAGTGTAAGGATGAAACAATTTGTATGTGACTGTCAGCATGAGAATACTTTTGTTGTATTCTAATAGTCTAACATGGTTCAGTTTGATTATTCTCAGGATCTAGTCATTTTTACTTTGAACAGACACAATATTAAGTGGAGGGGGGGTTGCATAAAAGTTTACTTGTGCAATCTCAATCTTACTATCTTTAACTATGTTACCACTTTAATTTTTTTTGGCTTAAAGGCTCTAAATTTGCAGGCTTATTTTTTTACAGCTTCAGTTTCTAAAAATGTATTACCCTTTTATTTTAACACTAATCTAAAATAAATTAATGGAAGTCTTTATTAAAAATAAAGCTAAATACTGCTGTGGAAACAAAATTTGAGAAACTGAAACAGAAGATGTTGATACTTACATGTGAAATGTGTGTTATGCGTGTTGTGTGTGTGGACACATGTATCAGTTTTGTTTCTGCTTTTAAAATAAATTTTACCAATATGTGACCAAAGTACTAAAAAATGTTTCATACAGTTTTGTTTATTAATATGCTCTGTAATTATTTACTACAGTAGTTTTTTCAGTAATTTATACTACCTTGACTTTTTATTTGCTCAAGATGACATTTATGTATAGAATAAAACTTACGCACAGCATCAATGTTTCCCATATTACCATAAATGTACAATTTTTTGGAAGCAAATATAGTCATAAATGTTTAATGGCTGCTAAAATGTACACTGCTAAAATGTACAAAATAGAGACCTTATAGGCAGAATCTTGCATATTTTTACAACTGCAATGTGATCAAATTTAGAATATATTGATAGATTGGCACTAAGTTATGTATATATGTACACATATAAGTGTACTTAGTATTTGAGAGGTAATAAGTTGCACAGTTGTAAGTTGAGAGGTAATAAGTATTGCATAAATGAGAAGATTTCTTCAGGTTGTGATGCTTTTTGTTGTCAATAACATCACTTTCAAAATGTATCAGTACATTCAGCTAGGAGTATTTGTATTACCACTCATTAAATACGTGAGTGGTAAGTACACAGAAATATGCTACATAAGTAGAACATTCTGCATTATCTATGTGCAACATTTTAAATGAATTTTACACAAAATATTTTAAAGGTAAGTTAAATGTATCTTCTAAGATAAGGAATAATAATTTTCATGAGCTGAACTAATGTAAAATGTAATCAGTGCTTCAAAATAAGTCATTCTCATTGTCTTCCTTTTTAGCCAAAACCTAGAATCCACAGAAGGACCTTACTCAGAGATTTAAAGGTTTTAAATAGAAAATAATAACTATAATTGTATTATTAAAGGTAGGTGTATTTGATATCCATTAGGTTTAGTTTCATGTCTGTGACGTGGTGTCTCCATGTAAGTAATGCACAGTAAGCAAGGGACACTCATATTGAGGTGAGACAAAAGCACTGTGATTTTAAAGGAAGCTATTTGATAATCTTGTGAGATTTCTATTTCAATTCCACAGCCCTGATGGAGAATTAGAAAGCTTTAAAAGAATTATCTGTGATAGACAGCTGATGCCAGCTTTCTCATGGCCCTGTTGTGAGCCCTGGTTATGAGGATTGAGATGGAAGCAGCAAGGCACCTGCAGAGAGGGCCGTGAGGCAAGTGTAACTGGCAATCCTCGAGCACATCGATCACCCCGCTGGCTATCAGTGGGGCCGCGGAAGCCCCTGTGCAACAGGCTTTAAGCCCATGTTCTCTCTCACTTTCTGGGCTGTAAATTCTGTATGAGCTTTATAGAGGCTGTAATGATTATCCTTTGCTTGAAACCTAAAGAACCTTAACTCTATCCTCTGGAGGCCTATCTGTCACTTAAAAATGGATTTCTCAGTTTTGCTATTTTAGATTACTTTTAAAATAACTTTTAAAATAATGTTGCCAGGAGTGGTCTCATGACAATTTTCTTCTCCAGTAGAAATCAGTGTATTTCCTGCTAACAGTTATTTTTGCATATAATGATGTCACATTAGAAAAGATGGATGGACAGTAACAAAGCAAGCAGCATAGGCGCTTTTTTGTTTGTTTAAATAACATTCAAACAGTATTTTTTCCACTAAGATATTCTAGTATTTTAGTTGAAAGCTGAGTACTGTAACTTCAGGATGCCACCCACTAACTTTGCCATACTGTCTATTAGCTTCCTAGCTTCTGGAATTCATTCAACTTAAAGTACTTCAGTATTTTGAACAGAACATACCCCACAGTATTTCAATAGATGCATCTCTAAATGGAGTGAGGAACTACATTTTGAAAGTAAGTGTAATTTGAGACAAGTTTATCTTAGGACAGAAGAATTTTTTTCTTGTTTGGTTGTTTTTTTGAGGGTTGTGGCAGGGAGTCATGGTGGTCCTATTTTCTCCCCCTGCTGTTCACATAAGCTGTATTTTTTTACTTAGAGCAGTTGCCACAGCAATCCTATGGTAACAGAATCTGTGCTTTCCAGAAGATTTTAGGAAAGTGGACCATGGAATGATTAGCAATCTATGTATACTCCCCAGTGAATAAGAATTTAAGATCACTTCAAATTCTCTTCCTGCTGTGCTAAGTGGAAAGATTGAGAGAGGGAGAAGTTGAGTGAGGATGTAATAAGAAGTTAAGTCCTTGCATCAAGCCAAGTATGTGGGTTAAACTTGTGAAGACCAACAAAACCAGGTGAGCCTGAATAAGGTAGCCATGCTACTGAAATAATGATTCACTGATAGCAACTAGATGATAGACTGAAGGACTGAGGAAGAATAGGAGACTCAGGATCGTGAAGTATATACATAAACTTACAAATTTTCTTCAGAAGGTAGTGGATTTTGCAGACCTCAAACTGATGCTTAGTCAGTCTTCCCATGTTTGCATTTGCTACTGCAAAAAGCAGTGTCCTAAAATTTATCATGCAGAAAAATACAGTCTTTAAAAAGTTTCCCAAAGAGTACTTCATCCCAATTTACATGATCTTCTAATCTACATATTTTTTATCCTAAAAGTCATGCCGTCCATGACTTTGATCTCCATAAAACCTAGCAAGCTTTTGCTAAGTCTGTCTTAATATAACAAATAAGGAGAATATGGTTTGCTTGTGTATTTCTAAGTTACTATCTAATAATGGTGAAGACTCAATTTGTGCTTGCTCCAAAAGCTGTGGACACCTGAAACTGAACAGCGAAAGTCACAGTAATGGCCTCTTTTCTGTTCGCTAGGCTTGGAGGATGTTGATGTGCTGGTGGTAGTATTTCTGAATATTGACTCGCTAATTTTAAGACATTTTGTCCATCCTCCACTCTCTGAAAGTATCAGGGGACAATAGGGCATACACTGTCCTCTTCCTTTGCTTTCCTGAACGCAAGGACATGCTTAGAAAACACAAGTTTGACATAAGGTAACTTACATTTAAAGGAAATGTGTTAGCTTAAGAGAATTGTGGACTGAGGTTATAA